CTAGGATTATCCTAATGGACCTGATCATAACAACCGGTGAGAACGTTTCATCATAGTCAATCATGAACTTGTGTCTAAATCCTTTGGCAACTAATCTTGCCTTGTAGACAGAAACATTTCCATCCTTGTCTGTCTTGATCTTGAAGACCCATTTGCATCCAATGGGTTTTACCCCATCAGGCAAATCTATCAAGTCCCATACTTGATTCTCAGACATGGAGTCCATTTCGGATTTCATGGCTTCAAGCCATTTTTCGGAGTCGGGGTTCGCCATTGCTTGTTTATAGGTAGCAGGCTCATCATTCTCTAAAAGTAGAACGTCAATGCTAGCATTCAAGACGAAATCCTCATATCGTCTAGGTTACCGCCTTGGCCTGTTTGATCTCCAAAGTGGTCCAACAGCTGGAGAGACTTTAGCAGGAGGATTGACCACATCAGTATGTGGGACCTCGGGTGCTTCATCTACCTGAGGAATTGCATCTTGAATATGGGTGGTTTCCCTTTGAGAAGGTACGCCTCCAAAATCAAGTTCCTCTGTGACATCTTCTATGTCCTCATGCTGTAGGGTTTGTTGCTCAGGTTGAATCTCACCAAGCTGAACATTTCTCCCACTTGACTTCTTGGAAAAGAAATCCTTTTCCAAAAAGACACTATCCCGAGCAACAAACACCTTGTTCTTAACGGGATTGTAGAAATAATAACCCCTCGTTTCCTTGGGGTAACCTATGAAGAAGCATTTGTCTGATTTGGGTGCGAGCTTATCAGATAGTAAACGCTTTACATAAGCCTCGCATCCCCAAACCTTAAGAAATGACAAGCTGGGAGGCTTCCCAAACCATATCTCATGTGGTGTCTTGTCAACTGATCGGGACGGAGTCCTGTTTAGTGTGAACGCAGCGGTAGTGAGGGCATAACCCCAAAAGGATGTAGGAAGGTCAGCAAAACTCATCATTGAGCGGACCATGTCTAACAATGTCCTGTTTCTCCTCTCAGACACATCATTCAGTTGTGGTGTACCTGGTGGAGTCAGTTGTGTTAGAATACCACAACTCCTCAAATGATGGTCGATCTGATCGAAGTGCCTTTATCTTCTTGCCTGTTTGTGTCTCAACTTCATGCTGAAATTCTTTGAACTTTTCAAAAGACTCAGATTTATGTTTCATTAGGTAGATATACCCATATCGACACACCATTCAGTTGTGGTGTACCTGGTGGAGTCAGTTGTGTTAGAATACCACAACTCCTCAAATGATGGTCGAATTCTTGGCTCAGATATTCACCCCCTCGATCTGATCGAAGTGCCTTTATCTTCTTGCCTGTTTGTGTCTCAACTTCATGCTGAAATTCTTTGAACTTTTCAAAAGACTCAGATTTATGTTTCATTAGGTAGATATACCCGTATCTACTAAAATCATCAGTAAATGTAATGAAGTATCGATAGCCTCTCCTAGCTTCTATGCTCATAGGTCCACACACATCGGTATGTATGAGAGCTAAGAGCTCAGTAGTCCTTTCACTTGTACCTTTGAAAGGTGACCTTGTCATCTTACCCATTAGACATGATTCACATGTTTCAAATGATTCTAAATCAAATGACTTTAGGCTACCAACTGTTTGGAGTTCCTTCATGCGTTTAATGCTAATGTGGCCTAGGCGACAATGCCATAGATTGGCTTCACTTATGTCATTCGACTTTTGCCGTTTTGTATCAACGTTATAAACTTCAGATTTGAGATCCAATATGTATAATCCACTATTATTCATATGGGCTTGAGCATAAAAGATGTCATTCTTAAAAATAGAAAAACAATCCTTAATGACAAAATTATAACCCTCAAGGTTCAAAACTGAAATTGAAATCAAATTCTTAGTAATAGAAGGAACAAAATAACAATTATAAAGTTCTAAAACCAAGCCAGAAGGTAGCGGTAGACTATAATCTCCAATGGCAAGTGCAGCAACTCTTGCTCCATTTCCAACGCGAAGATCTATCTCACCCTTCTGCAACCGTCTCCTATTTCGTAGTCCCTGCACATTCGAAATAATGTGAGAACCACAACCGGTATCTAATACCCAAGAATTGGAGTTAGTTGATAAGATTTCAATGACGCAAATACCTGAAGCAGAGGCACCCCTCTTCTTATCTTCCAGATATTTGGGGCAGTTTCTCTTCCAGTGCCCCTTAGCCTTGCAGTAGAAGCAGTCATGCTCAGCAGCCACCTTTATTTTAGGTGTGTTTCCCTTAGGTGGAACAACTGTCTTGCCCTTCCCTTGAGACTGTTGCTTCTTCTGTGGCCCTTTCTTAAACCCTTTCCCTTTGTTGACCATAAGAACATCCTTCCTAGGTTCAACCAAGACATTTTGCTCAGCAGTTTTGAGCATAGCATGCAGCTCATTGAGGGTCTTACTCATGGCTCCTATGTGATACATCTGCCTGAAATTGGCAAATCCATCATGTAAGGAATACATGATCATATCTGTAGCCATCTCAACATTGTAGGGGTTCCCAAGTCGAGCCATCCTGTCAAATAGGCCTATCATGTGGAAAACATGTGGCCCCACTGGTTTCCCCTTTTCGAGCTTGCTTTGCAATATGGACTTAAGGGTCTCATACCTCTCAATCCTGGCCTGCTCCTTAAAGAGATCTCTAAGATTTCTCATAATTGTATAGGCATCCTGATCCTCAAACCTCTGTTGAAGACCAGGTTCCATGGCAGCCAGCATGAGGCAAGTAACATTCCTTGACCTCTCGCATATTGTTTTGTGACGTGCCTTATCCTCATCAGATGAGTTGACAATCAGCTCTGGGATGGGTGTTTCTAGGACATCCTCTTGGTTCTCAGACCTGAGAATAATTCTCAGATTTCGTTCCCAATCAAGAAAATTGGTGTCGTTCAACTTGTTTTTCTCAACAATTGAGCGGAGCGTGAATTTGAGGTGTTCAGTAGACATAGTAACTACAAAACAGAAATTGAAATATGCAGATAAATTATGCTTGAAATGTAAAAACTTTATTTTAGACATGTTCTAAATAACAAGTTATTGCATATTCTACTCAATATAATATTGTCCCTTATGAGTAAAATAATTCCAAGATCCTATCTTAGATGAAACTTGAGCGTACTAAGGCACTTCCCCAAATCTCATGTAATCAAGGTAAGTAAATGCTTTACTAATTATAACACTTTATAATTCTTGGTTGATGGCCACATCATATGTTAACTCATCCTTATGCCTCAAGATCTAAAACTAAGTCTTTTGGCCTCTTGTTGAGTATAACCATATCAAGGCAGCATGCCCCTATTAGACATACCCGCACTATCCCAAGGTCAAGGAAGGACACCTCGCTAGGGCGAAAACTATCCAACGAATTCCAAGGGCCTCATGGTTATGACATGGAAAGGCATAATCTCAATATTCTTTTAAGGGACTTTTAGCATGCAATGGTTGTCTATATATAAGCGAACTAAATAAACAAGCATTCATGCAAGGCAAGAGATAATAAAAACATTCACATAATGCAATAATAAAAATTTGGATCCTAGTATGGCCCCTAAAGAGATCTAATCTTCAATAGTCTTGACTTTCTGGATCACCATCCTTTAGTCATCATAGGATCTTCTTCTTCTTGTGTTACATAAATTTGAATAAACTTTCTTGCATAAATTTAAATTACAAAAAATACATAACGATACGCAGATCGTGTTTATCTATCCTAATTTGGGCATATTAGTCACCACATGCAATAATATCATAATATTAAACGTACATGCAATGAAATGTTATTCAAGTAAGACATGCAATTTATCCAAATAAAAAGCATAAATAATTAATCATATTAACTATTAGAACACTCCGCATTCATATAATGTCCTTCCACATCTTGTCCAATTTCTTCATCATTGATGAGTTTCAAACGTTGCACCTTATTAATAGCATCCATCATCATTTCACGCATTAATTCATATGCATCATTAGAAGATAGCCCCTCTTCGACCATTTCATTAGCTAAGCAATTTAGTTCACTAAAACGAGAAGCAAAATTAATTGTGGCATTATCTCCAATAATATTACCATCTCTAAGAACAACCCTTTTTCTGACATTTCGACACCATCTTCTTAGAATATATTGCTCCGGTAACTCACTATGATTGGTAATTTTAAGATATGCCAAGATATGTCGGCATGGAATGCCCTTGAATTCAAACATGAGACACGAACAACGGACCATTTTAGTTGTTTTGCAATATGTAATATGTCTCAATCTTTCATCATGACCACAAAAATTTAATTGGAAAGTACTTTCTCTTTCATTTTCTTTTACTAGCTCAATGTTATACATTAAGCTAGGTTGAAGCTCGTCTTGAAAAATATAAAAGATTTTTTTCGTGTAGATTTGGGCCATTTGTTTTTCCATTGACCATAAAGTCTTTAATTTTGGCTTTTTCTCTACTGTGCAATGATCTTCTTTAAGCTCCCCCTCTCTTTGTCTCGCCAAGACCCTCTGAAATATGGTCACGAAATCATGAAGTGAATTTTTCCTTGATATATGTTTTTTTAGTAATGCATTCATCCCTTCACTTCTTTGACTGCTAGACATTCCGGCCCAAAAGTGTTGTTTATGATAAACCGGAGCCCATTTTTCACGAATATCATAGATTTTATTTAGCCAATCATGCTTTTCCAATCCATTTTTCTTAATAATTGAAACCCAATTCTCTTCAAAAGAGTTAGCATCGTCGGAGTCACAAATATTTTCTTTGAAAGATTTCATAAATTCCGTTCTATAAGCCCATTGACCCAACTTATCTGGAACTTTGTCCAAGATATGCCAAATGCAAAACCTATGCCGAATTTTTGGAAAACTGTTTCAATTGCCTTGCATATGCCAAGACATTGATCTGTAATCATGCCCGAAGGAGGATGACCCATTGCTTCAATCCATTTGATAAACAACCATACAAAAGACTTCGCCTCTTCGTTTGGGATCAAGCCACATCCTAAAAAACACTTTTCCAATGGTGATTTATGTCTACAAACGGCACAAATACCAAGCCATATTGATTTGTGTTATGTATAGCATCAAAGGAGACAACATCGCCAAAGTGTTGATAATTCATTCGAGCAATGCCATCCACCCAAAAACAATGAGTTAAGCGCTTCTCTTCATCAACTTCATAAACATAATAAAATGAAGGATTCTTCTCTTGTTCCGACTTGAAATGATCCAACATCATTTGTGCATCATGACCGCGCCTCTCCTCTCTCAAATCTCTTTCATAATTTCTCACATCGGTCTCAATACATCCAATTCTATGAAAGCCTCCGCTAGAGTTTTCAAAGAAGGCAATTTGCTTGTTTGTTGGAATGTTCACCTCTCCAAACTGCTTAATTAATGTCTTCTTTGCACTTGTTACCTCACGGTTTCCCCTTAGAAAATGTGTTCTCCTCGGTGAAGTAATTGTATGATTATGTTCTTCCACGAACTTATAGACACTCCACATGCCAATGTTTTTGTCTAATTTCAAGCGAATCAAGGCCTTACAATTTGTTCTAATTGTACCACATCGTCGAATTTCCAACGATTTTCTCTTTAACACTCCTTCTTTTGAACAAACATAACTTTTGCAAATTAACTCTCTATCCTTCCCATAATTTGTTGTGCTATTACGGATATCAAAACCTCCGGCCTTTCCGTAATTTCTGTAGAATTTTTCAGCATCTTCTAAACTATCGAAAGCCATTCCTATTTTTGGTTTTAAGTGCTCATCAACAATTGGCACAACTAAGTTATCTAATTGGGATATTTGTTCATCAACAACATGGGAGCAACCATCTTCAGTTCCTATTGGATCAGACATCAAGAACAATTTTTACCTACAAAAATTAACATCAACAACAAACATCAAGAACAAACCATCAAAGACTATGTGCACAAAAATAAACAAATATCTTTCATGTATAAGATATATCTTTCCTGTAAACAGTTATTATATGGGGTGTTTCCTGTAAACAGTTATTATATAGTGAAGCATCTCATGCAACAGAAAAATGTCAGCGGAAAAGTTTGAAAGAATCTCATAGTCTAAGCACTAGTTTAACACCGCTACTTTAATTTATTTATCGCCAAATGAACGGTCATGGTAGGTCGGAGCCCTAAAATTTGACTCGACAGTTTAACACCTGAACACCTGAACACCGCTACTTAAAAGTTTGCAAGAAATTAAAAAGCCCTAAAATTTCATTATCCAGCAATCAATCTAAGCCCTAAAGTTTCCCCAAATCTACCCACTTTCACAAACAACAAACAAAATGGAGGAAAACCCACTTTCACAAACAACCCACATCAAAACTGATGAAAAAAAATAACAAGAATAGAGAATAGTAGAAGAAGAAGATAAAAACCCGTAGTCGGTCGGCGGTGGGGCTGAATGGCGGAGGGGTCGGAGCCGGACACCGTCGGTAGTCGGTCGGCGGGGGGGCTGAATGGCGGAGGGGTCGGAGCCGGACACCGTCGGTAGTCGGTCGGCGGGGGGGCTGAATGGCGGAGGGGTCGGAGCCGGACACCGTCGGTAGTCGGTCGGCGGGGGGGCTGAATGGCGGAGGGGTCGGAGCCGGACACCGTCGGTAGTCGGTCGGCGGGGGGGATGAATGGCGGAGGGGTCGGAGCCGGACAACGTCGGTCGGCGGCGATGCTTGGAGTCACAAGATCGGAAAGTCTGGGTTGAGAAAGGGGGGAGTCTGGGAGTATATATATATATATATAATATTAGGGTTAGGGTTAGGGTTAAATAATTAAAATAAAATAATTATAGGTATTTAAAAATTAATCTAATTACAGAATAATTATCTATAATTAAAAACGTACATGTTGTGCTATTACAACAATTGATACGAAATAGTCGAAATATACCCATATTGTACAATTAAACGAAAATAATTAATAAATAAAATATATTTACTTTTATTTAAAATCAAATAATTATGGGACAATTATATACAAATCAAAACGTACTAGTTGTGCTAATACGACAGATAATATGTAACAGTAGAAATAATATAACAAATTATACAAATAATACGTAATTAATAATACAAAATATTATGCGAAATAATACGTAATAATATTAATAATACAACATATTATTTAAAATAATACGTAATAGTACTGATAACATAACAAATTAATTCTAGAAAATTTTACTGCACGAAATAAATTTATAAATATTAAAACCATTTAAATAAATATAATTTTGGTTTTTAAATCGTAGAAAATTATAGGAAATTGAAAAAAATACAAATACTCTTTTAAAAATAATAATTAAATATTCTAAAATACCAGAAAATTATTTTAACTAGTATCAAAATTTCACGGTCCATACACTACCAGACCGTAATCTCTAACTCCCTTAACCATTAAATAACAAAAAAGGTCATTGCATCATCTCTCTCCCCTAACCTAGTTTGGCCATGTCACTGCCACTGTCGGCGTTTCGCTTGATCGTCGCCGTCCTCGTCACTCGTGGCCCTATCCCTTCTCCTCACAGCCTACAGCCCTGTACCTCTCCTCATTGTTAGCCGTTGTCGCATATCTCAAAAAAGGCGGCCATGTCTGTAGCAAGAGGAAGAAGGGAAGCTTGAATGTTCACATTAGGATTTTCTTTTCGTTTGAATTTGAAGCACAAATTTGAAGTGTATGATTTGATGAAGAGTCAATAAAATGATATCAAATGTCGGTTTTATTCAAACTAAATAATAAACACATGGGCTTGTTTACGATTTAAGGTTTGAGAACACAAACATATGAACAACATGAAGAAAGGCCATTAACTCATGGTTATTTACATAATTATTCTTTTATTTAAGTGTTAGTTGCACTTAACTAACCCAAGTTTACTTTATTTTTAACATTGGTACCTCCAAAGTATTTTTCATGCCCCAGAACTACCCCAAAGTTAAATTGGTAACCAACATAATTTTTTAAAGTTTTTGTTGATGTTTGGGTATCAAAGTAAATTCTCGTTAAAGTTTGGGGTATTAAAGCTTAAATAAGTTGAACCTTCAGGTGCTATTTGCACAAAAGAAAACTTTAAGTTCCCAACATAAAAAATGAGGTAAAGTTTGGATTTCTTTTGGGCGAGAAAATACTTACGAGTATCAAAGTTGTAGTAGAATACACTTTGAGCATATTTAAGTGCAAATAACCCTCTATTTAGTAAATAATTTATATACTTGGTGTATTAGGTTTTCAACCTCTCAAACAAATGACTTTTGTTAGAAAAGAGTTATTTGAAAACTAGAGGAAAACAGAGTCCTAACATAGTGTTGATGTCAGTTATCAAACATGAGGTCTGTGTGATGATTTGTGGAATGATTAGAGTTCTTTAACACCTTCTGATGAGTGGTTCTGGAGCCTGTTGTTCTTCCTTGCACATGAAGGAACTCGTAAGAGGGCGGAGTTGAGTTCTCCAGGTGTTCCTCTGACGATCAAGTCAGTACTTGATCTTGTGTGGAAAAAATAGAGTTAGTTCTCCGTTATATAAAAAAGATCAGATAGAGTTACCTCATACAGTGCTGCTCCTTTTATAGTGGATTTGAGGGGCAATAAGGTAACTTGGTCCGAGTCCAGCTAGGCAGCTACGTCGGCAGACATGTGCTATGTGTTGTTGCTAAATGAGTTGAGTCACTTAGTCATTTATTATGGGAATGACAGCAGGTGTTTGGTGCTGACTGGGTCAGATGAGTCATAAAGACTATAGGGGCTAGGGTAATGATAATTTTGTCAGGGCAATTAATGCGAGAGTAGTTGGCTAGCGAGGGGTTCGAGGTAACTGTTGTTTTTCGACTCCTCAGGTCCAGGGTCGAGAAATACTAGCTTTTGACTTGGTTATGCGAGATGTCGGCTGAACAATGGGCCGAGTGATATCGCTGGTGGTCAATTTGGAGGTTGGCCGAGTAGTACTGCCTTTTAACTCGGTTACGCGAGATGTCAGCCAATCAAGTCGGTCGTACTGAGTCGAATGTTATCCTAGTTTTGAATTAGTTTGGTTAGGTAGAGTGTAAGGCACATGTCGACTTCTCTATGGAGATTAATATCTAGTATTTTTTGGGGTTATAACAGTTGGCCCCTTTCACTTGGAGTCGGCATAGGCCGAGTCTGAGTGAAATAAGACTATGGATTTACTGAGTTACAAGGTGCATGAATGAGGGGTGACTGAAACGTCCCTTGGATGTTACATTGCTTATGCCAGAGGACATCTCTTAGCTCTTGTCGCCTCATCTTTCGTGCCTGACTGCGGGCTATGTAAAGTAGGTGTGCCTTGCTTCGATTCCGAAAGAAGCCATTTCGAATTCCAGAGTTAATCTTTGTTGTTAGCTTGAAAACTGATCCGGTCATTGGGATATTGACATCTGTCAATCTAGATGTTTATAAGTATGGTGGTTGTGAGGAGAGAGATTTGTTTGTTTTTGAAAATCTCCAAATCTTAATCGAAAAAGAGAATTTTGGTCGTTCTTCTTCTTCCGGTGATCTTCTAAAAAATATTTTGATGGCATCTTCCGCTCTTAATACTCGTTAGGGTTAGGGTCAGTTGGAGATGCTCCACTCGAAGGTGATGCTGCCACAACTGAGGTCATTATACGAGAGGTTTGATACCCCCTCGGTCTTACAAGCTGACGACGCCGATGAAGTCATAAGTAGTTTTTGATCATGATGCGAGTCAGGCTCCATTATACGTAAAACACATTGAGTGTGGTTTGCATCTACCCCTACACCCCTTCCTTCGCTTTGTCTTTAATGCTTTGGGGGTTTCATCGATGCAGATGAAACTGAACTCAATCGCGACGGTAGTTAGGTTTGTGGTCATCTGTCGTTAGTTGGGGGTTGAACCATCCATGAATGTGCATGCTCATCTGGTCAGCGTCAAGGTGCACCAGTGTGAGGCGCACTTTCATTTTCAGGGGGTGGGAAGATTCAACATTATCGCCGACCCTCCTGAGTCGAACAAGGACTAGAAGGAGAAAATTTTCTAGGTCTTGGTGGATAAATCTAACTTGGGTTGTTGAAATTGGCCCGAGATCGTAAGGGAGGCTTTGACGGCGAGGCCTCTGTTGAGTACTGAGAGGCAAGCGTTGGAGAGGATCAGAGCATATACGAGCTCCCACAAGATAGAAGACTTACTCAATAATTTTGTTTTGTAAGTATTCATCATCTCTCACGTGTTGCCTACACCTAAAAACGATGAGAGGGGTGGTTAGGCTGACCCTGGGCTTGGAGGGAGCTATCGAGGTATCTGTAGCTGAACCTACTAGGGCCCAAGAAGAGATCCCAACAAGGCTGGCGAAATGTCCTCATCAGGATTCGGCCCCTGAGGAGGCTACAATGGTTCATACTCGGGCGCCTAATATGGTTGCTAAGTTGGCGAGGATGTCACCTACTGCCGGTCGGGTCAAAAAGAGGAAGAAGCTTAGGAATGTTAGCAGCTAGGGGCCTAGAAGGGCAGTCGAGGCGGAGACCAAAGTCCTCTATGTTGATGATGGGTTCCCAGCTCAAGAAGAGGGGGTCGACCTTCAGAGGGTCGAGGTCGAGGCTGAGGCTCTAGGGGGAGACAACATTCTGGTGGAGACAGACAGAGGTCCCAACAGGAGGCGAAAGGGTTCGACCTTCAGAGGGTCGAGGTCGAGGCTGAGGCTCTAGGGGGAGACAACATTCTGGTGGACGAAAGGGTGCCAGATGCCCCCGCCGAGTTGACCCACCACCGAGGGAAGGAGTCGGCCGCAGAGGGGGTGTATCCCTCCGAGGAGTATGGATGTCCGTATCCTCATCGTTTCGATGAGATTGAATCTAAGACATGCGACGAAT